TTCAATTTCGATTTGTGATTTCTTTAACAAGAATAAGAATAATCTCTGAAGATTGCCAAGGGCCGAAACTAGTTATAGTTATATTAAATAAAAACCAGTTTAAAAGTACAGATTCAAACTTTAAATTATTTACCTGTTTCAAAATTAACAACTGGTAGAATGGATTTCAATTATAATTCTATAATTATTGTGTTGGTTTAGGAAAATATGAAGAAGAGAAATATTGAAGTAAAAGAATTTCCGCTTAATCTAAAAATGTCAAAAATTAAAAAAATTTAAAAAATACTGATAGCGCTGTTTATAAAAAGTAAGGAATGAGATATATCTTAAATTAAAGGATAATTGGATTAAAAAAATATGGAGGAAAATAATTTTGAGTTAAATTTTTAAGGTACGTGAGCCTTAAAAATGTTAAATAAGAAGAAAATTCAAGAATTCGTGGATCATGAAAACTATGAAATGAGATTTATTTTAAATTTATGCTCAAATTTAAAAATTATGAAAATTTTAAAAGTCCTGGTTGCGTTCTTTATAAAATTAAGGGATAATATTCATCTTAAATTAAAGTTTAAAGTCTCCTCTTTCAAATCATAACATAATAACTGTTAGGTTGGAATAAATACATTTGGGATAAATATTGAGTTACAGTGCATTTTGAAGCTATTCAGGAAGCTCATTTCTTTTCAACCAATGGCTTCTTCAAATGTAGTTGATAAGTTATAATTAAAATAACACTTTCAAAGAACTGATCCATCTTAGATATTGAGTTCATTAATAGTTGTATCCTGGTTTTGCAAATAATTTAGCTTAATAAGTATATTTGCTATTATTGATTATATTTATAAAACTGGTAGAAGATTAAGTCTAGACCACAACAATCTTTAAATTAAGCACTAAATCCTTTTAAGTAACCAATACTACTACCTTCAATATATTTTCTATTGCCGATACACACAATTGAATAATTGATAAATCCAATTGCACGTTCTAGTCACAACTCATTGTTAATGTCAGGAACTCCACAAAACAAAAGTCGGTCCGTTACACATTGCGCTCAAAAACAATTGTAATCTCTCACAGTCGGTTCGAAGTGCTATCTATATGTGCTAACGTTCCGATTGGCTTTTTAAAAAGCAGCCAGAAACTTTCGAAATGAATACAATATATACGATACGAATTTATCACTTTCAAATAGTCGATTGTAGCGAAAAATACGTGCATCGAAATGCTTACAATTCATGTTGCTCCTTTAAAATAATAATTTGGTTACGTTCAAAGTACATATTCTAATGAATTTATTTAAGTTGGAACGATTCTATGTTTAGACATAGTGTTTTAAGTTTAATTTGAATGTAAAAATTCAGAGAAGACACTCTTTAGAAAGGTTTGTTGAAAGAACCCAGATTTAAATTATTTTAAATTGCAAATGATGATAAATTCACTTCGACCTTATTTTCTTGCACGATTTTGCAGAGCGTGCATTTGAAATGCGATTTATATAGAGGACATTGATAAATTGGGTTCTCTATATCGGCTTTTTCTATAGCAACTATCAACAAAGTTTTAGGTAAAAATTTCTTATCACATATACAGTGTCCGTAAAAAAATTCGTTTTATTTTTGATTAACAATTTTAAGAATTTCTTCTTTAATAATTTTTCCTAGAAATCGCAATAATAATTATTTTATAATTTTTATATCATATCATAAACTAAAATTTTTAAGCTTCAATTTAACACACAATATCATATCATTCATGATTCTTAAAAATATGGTCAATATATGATTTTTTGAAATTTCCGTGTTAATATTGATTCACAAATTTGACAACTTCTTCTAATATTTTTTTTCTGGAAATTCCAATAATATTATGTTATAATATCTATATCATATCATAAACTGCAATCTTTAAGCTTCAATTTAACATACAGGGTATTCATTTCAAAACTTTCCACCTTAATTTCTGTAAATCGGGAAGTTTAAAAAGAAAATCGCTGAAATACGTAAAGAATAAAACCAAGGGGGACAACTTTTTATGCAAAAATTGACTCACTCACTTCAACCCCCCGCCGCCAGAAACCAACCCCTTAAAAATCTTAAATGGAAAGGGGTGTCAAGTGATACCTCATTTTAAAGGTCTTTTAAGGTACTACATGTTAGTATTTATTTTTTTTAAATTGATCGTTTCGTTTTCGAAATTTTTGCGAAAATCTTTGTTTTGTATTTCCCGCTTTAATTAATATTAAAAACTTTAATCACCCTCTTAAAAGCAAGAAAAGTAATCTTTTATTATTAATTTATAAAATTAAATTACCATGTTCGTTTTTACAACGACCATTAAACCTTTGTTATTTCGGAGCAATCCGAAATCTTTGATATTTAGGTTATTTTGACAATGATATACCTACGTTGGCTAGCTTGCCTGGCGTCTGTCAGAGATATTTAGAAAAAACGATTTCTGTTTCATTTTTCTTTTCTTTTAGGTTTATTTTGTTATTACTTAAACAACTTTTAACTGCTTGAAACGTTCTATTTTATTTTCAGTTATTTAATTATGTACAAAAACTTTTTGCAGAGAAAATCAACTTAATAATTGTTCAAAGTGTTGTCCGTTATTAGCTAAACAATGGTACAACCGTTGTTCAAAACTACGGCGCACATTTTCAAAAACTTCCCTTTGAATTCCACGGCAAGCTGCAGTAATTCTCTGACGAAGTTCTTCTAAATTTTGAGGTTGAGGGGTAAATACAACAGACTTTAAATGACCCCATAAAAAAAAGTCTAATGGCGTCAAATCTGGTGATCTGGCTGGCCATTCTATAGGACCTCTTCGTCCTATCCATCTGTTTGGAAACGTATTATCTAACCACTGTCGTACTGGGAGAACATAGTGAGGAGGAGCTCCGTCTTGTTGAAAATGTAATTCATTCTCATCAAGTAAGGCATTTTCTTCTCTATCCAACTGATTCTCGAGAGCTTCCGTAATTAGTGGATTGATAGTATTTTCTAACATATCCAAGTACACTTCGCCGTTTAAATTTCCATCGATAAACACTGGACCAATCACTTGGTCTCCCAAAATGCCGGCCCATACATTAACTTTTTCAGGATATTGTGTATGCCCTTCTACAGTCAGATGAGGGTTTTCATTACTCCAATATCTGCAGTTATGTTTATTTACAAATCCATTTAAAGAAAAAGTGCATTCATCACTAAAGCAGATATTTTTCACAAAAACGTTGTTATTATTAATAATAGTGGTCACTTCTTCACAAAACTGTATTCTCCTGTCAAAATCGTCTTCAGTTAGCTCTTGATGTATTTTCAATTTATAAGGATGGAATTTGTGAAGTTTTACAACTTTATGAACAGAACCCAAGGATATACCAGTTGCACGAGATACCTGACGCAATGAAGTATTGGGGTTGATACCGAAATGACCCAACACTTCCAGTTGAGCGGTTTCATTCAAAACTCTCGACTCATTATGTTTTATGTTGGCAACGGACCCAGTCTGAGTGAATTTCTTCATGATCTGGATGCCTTTCATTAAAAACTGCGGCAGTTCGTCGAGCACATTCATTTTGGGATCCATACATTAATACAATTTCAATCCTTTCCTGCAAACTGTAAACCATTATTGCTGTTTTATTTAAATAACTTTGTTAAGTGGATAACACAAAGTTGTTTAAGTAATAACCAAATAAACTTATGTTTAGAATTGCACTTTTATTTTATTCTTTTCTCGCACTGTGAGCCTGCCTATAACTCGTTTATAGAAAGAGAAAAATTTCGTCTCTTTTTTTCCTTTTTTTGGCCATTCGAGTCAAGAGTAATTTTCATACAGGTTTAATGTAAAATACTTTCAATAAAATTTAGTTTAATTCATAATTATACGTGTTTAGTTTTCTTAAATATTTTGGATTGCTCCGAAATAATAAAGGTTTAATGGTCGTTGTAAAAACGAACAGGGTAATTTAATTTAATTTTCTTGCTTTTAAGAAGGTGATTAAAGTTTTTAATATTAATTAAAGCGGGAAATACAAAACAAAGATTTTCGCAAAAATTTCGAAAACGAATCAATCAATTTAAAAAAAATAATTATTTTTACTTATAAATTTTACAATTTCTCCTTAAATAATTGTTCCCTGCAAATTTTAATAATATTATCTTTTAGTTTTTATATCATTACGCATTACTTTCTTGAAAAAGAAAATTAAAATAAATGGAAAGCGAAAAGCTCCAGGCATCAACATCTACCTATTTTTGTATAAATTTTAATATGTAATAAAAACATGGTCTTGGATTTATCAAGTCGTTAGAAATACTTATTGTTAGCTAAACTCATTCAGACATACGAGGAGTTCACCGGTTAATTTTCGTACCTAATTAGAGTTTATTGGAAGAGAGAGGAAGTTTACATAGAAAGTGCACTTTACTATAATAGGCTAACAGGCTAACTAGGTGAATTCTAACATAACACTAATTTGACATTATTTCAAATAAAATGAAAATTAAATGCTCTTTAAAAAGAAATCCTTTGGGCAATTTTCACGTCCACTTGAATAATAGATCCGCAAGCAAGGATGAAACCCATCAAACGGCTTCACAATTCATCCGTTCTTTATCTAACCGACAACCCTGGGGTCCTGTTAAAGTGGATTACGGATCAGGGCTTTTTCCTCTTTCCAATTTTTAATTCGATTATAGACAGAATTCCAAACCCCGCTGCCGCCAGAATTCCATTACGTGCTCTTTTTCCGAAAAATTTACTGAAACACCAATGACAGGAAGAAATGCTGAAACCATACCAGATTATATGTAAAAATTTAATTTACGCCAACCCTTATCTGACAACATAAGCCTGTGACGAATGTCCTTTGACAGGAGATCCCCTCCAGCTATTTTGATGCGTGTAGGAAGGGAATGTGTTTGGGGTAGATACGACTTTGGTAACTTAATCTACATATATAAATTGTATCTAAACAAATATTATTTATATACTGCATAAAAATTTATATACAAACATACAATTCAAGTTAAAATCAATACAACATCTTTTATATATCTAAAAATTATTCAGATAGTTTAGTGGTAACAGTATCAGTTCTGGAAGATAAACTTCCACTAGTATGCGTAAACTTTCGGTTCGAAATTCTATTCTTTGATAACGATCCCATCTGCTGAAACACAAAGGTATCCTTTCTTTTCTGCCTTCCCGCTTTAGTGCAGCACTCGAAAGACTTCTTAAATTCCTTCCTGAACTTTTCTAAAATCAAGGAAAATTTAAAAGTTTATATTTATTAAATAATGTTGAAAACCATTGAAAAGACTTTTCCACTAAAGTTTTTATATTACCTTTACGTTTATACTTACTACTCATAAAGTTATAGATCAACGGATTGACGGCACTATTGACATAACAAAGCCAATGTGAGAACATGGAGAAAGCCCGATTTACTTCATTATTTCGCATTTCCATCGTTAGCCTAAAAAAAGTTCTATTACTATATCCTGAATGCAATACGAACACAAAAGGGGGTATTTGATGCTTGAATGAATCTCCGCGTACTTTAATACAAATGAGAGGCACTTCTTAACTTGAAGTCTGGTTGTTAAAGGATTTAATCTACCAGAAATAGAGAATACTAGAGAAGGAATAATAAATTTAAATACTAAAATATAATTTAATACTAATGATTAACACTATTAATTCAAATATGGTAACTTCTTCACATTTGAAGTGTTATAGAATAAAAATAATTGTTTTTGCTTCATTCAATTCTTCTTATTTCAGTGTCTGACATTAAAATAAGTCACATTTCATTTTACTTATAAACCACACCACTGTTGAGGTCTAAGGCAATCCTTAAAATATCGGGGCATTGTACTTTTACGTCTTGGTCAAAATCCGTACGTTACATCATCGTGGTGGCATCGTTAACACTAAGTACGTTAATGTATACAACTAACATAAGTAAAACAGGAAGTAACCACGATCAAGCTCATTTTGCGCTACAACTGTTTGACTTGGCGAAAATCGTCAAGGTTAACATAAGTCCTTATTTCTTGCAAAATCTGCACATAAAATCCAGTAATCACTAGCTATATGCCCATAGCATGCATTAAAAATATTATTACGCAAGATACTAACAGTTGTGGTGTATAAAAGCTACAGAAAGGTGCATAGATAAACATTTTCACGGGCAGTTGGGCCGACAACCTGAGAAAACTCATTAGGGACAATGAAGTTATTCTACGGTGGGTTACCGGGTACAAAAACACTGAGGACAATGAAAAGGCAGACAAGGTGGCCAAAGAGGCAGCGAGGACGTCCTTTATTAGCCCCCACGAACCTGTGGGCTACAAAAAAGCCAGTTAAAACAGGTAATTAATAGATGGAAGGCATGATTTACATCCTAACATTCATGCACATGTAAGAGACATATTTAACTTTTGTTTCCAAAATCAATACTTTCCTAATGAATGGAAAACTGGGACAGTAGTATGCATCCTATAACGTTGCTTCCTGTCATCGGGAAAATATTTGAAAATCTTATTAAAGAACGACGGCTAATGTATGTTGAAGATAAGATTCCACATCATCAGTTTGGATTTAGATCAGGCAAATCGACTATACATCCACTAGCTATTCTTACTTCAAATCTACACACTTGTCACTTACAGCAAATAAAATCAGCAGTTCTTTTTCTAGACATACCAAAAACCGTTTGATTCAGTGTGGCATAACGGTCTGATTTACAAATTAAACGTTCCACCTAAGTTACTTAAATTACTGTCAAATTTTTTAAAAGGTCACAATTCGACACTATTTACAAAAGGATTGTGATAGGATAACAATATGTGGCTGATAAAATTTTAACTATTGAGATGGGGCGGAAGGACTTTGCTTTTAATTGTCTAAAACGGTAATTACTGCATACCCCGAGGGGAGGGGGGGACCATAGCCTTAATACGATCTCGGTTGGCTGTTTTGATTTATCCGAGGTTGAAGAAACTCTTTTTGGTGTGGCTGTTTCCAAGGGTCCGGGCTCATATGATATACCTTCCATTTTTATTATCCTTTAAATGCCTTGCTAGACCTCTATGCTTAATTTTTAATATGTCGCTACGTTACGGGGTTTTTCCATCTGTGTGGAAACGGGCGAAAATTACGCCTATTTTTAAGTCAGGAGATTGTATAGTCTTGTAACTAACTACCGTCCTATATCTATTTTAGCAATAATGGGAAAAATCTTTGAAAAAATGGTTTACAGCAAGCTATTTTTTCAGATGAAGCCCTATGTGGGTGCGGAGCAACACGGTTTTTTTCGGGGGCGATCTGTGGACACCAACTTGTTAGTATATACCGACTTTCTTTTTTCAACTATTGATAAAAACATCCAAGTAGATGCGATATACTGACTTTAGCAAAGCTTTTGACAAAGTGAATTACTGTTTATTACTGTTGAAGTTGAAGCGCGTTGGTGTCGCAGGTGTCCTTTTGAGCTGGTTTGCTTCGTACCTCTCCAATCGCACGCAGGTGGTTGGGGTTGGTGGATATTCGTCCGGTCCTGTTATCATGTCTTCCGGAGTGCCTCAGGGTAGTCATCTGGGCCCGCTCTTATTTATGGTGTACATAGGTGACATCACCAGGTCGTATCTTACCTCAAGATGTCTTATGTATGTCTTTCGACAGTAAAATATTTTTTCCTGTTGCTGCTGTTTCAGACTGTGTTAGTTTTCATTCTGTTTCAACCTTCAGAATGACCTGATCAGATTTTATGATTTTTGTGAGATTAATAATTTGTCACTTAACATATCGAAGTGTCGGACTGTTACTTTTACGAGAAAAAAACAGTTCTTTAAATTTGTTTACCGGTGCGGAACATGCTTACTGGTTCGTGTTGACACTATTAAAGACCTGGGCATTACTTTAGATAGCAAACTACTGTTTGATCAACACGTTGACGCAGTGGTGGTCAGAGCTAATAGGATGCTGGGATTTGTAATGCGCTCTTCTGAATCGTTTTGCTGCCCTAGACCTATTATTTCTTTATACAATGCTTTCGTTAATAGTATTTTATCGTTCGGCAGTACAGCTTGGAACCCTCAATACGACGCATACATTAACACAATAGAGAGGATTCAGATAAGGTTTCTGAAGTATCTCTCGTATAAATTCCGGCATCCTTATACAGATTACCAATCTGCCTGTTAAATGTATCATATGCCCACACTTCAGCAGCGCAGAACTTGCAGTGATGCCTGCTTTCTGTTCATATTGGTCAAAGGTTACTGTGATTCTTCCTATCTTCTTTCTCGCATTAATCTAGATGTTCCCCCTTGTCGGCTGCGCTATGACTTTCTGTTCAATGCGCCGACTGTCCGGACAAATTCGTATAGAAATTTCCCAATACTTCGCATGGAGAGGATAGTGGACCGTCTTGGGTTGGACATATTCGCCGTCGCACAACTTCAAACAAATTATTCGTAATGCCGTGCTCGCCCTACCAGTTGTGTGATTTTAAGTACATTATCTCGTTGCAGCGGCTTAAGAGGCCTACCTAGCTGGCGAAAAATTCGAATCGAGATTCCCTCGTGAACACGCTTAATGCGGCAACACCGCTCCATGTGTACTCGATCGGGCTGGCGCGCCAGGCCGATGACGACTAGGACTGTCCGATTGTCGGGTAATTCCCCGACAATCAGCGACGTTGATTTTATTCTTAGTTGAATGCATTTGAATACGAGTCGGGGCCGCTTTTTGGAACATAGCTGTTATTGCTAGTATTTCATTATTATCAATTGTTAGTTAAAATTATATATTTTCACGAAAAGGGATGTTGGTGGATGCCGATCTTATCAGATTCCTCATTATAAAATTGCACAGTATACCAAATTTTATCTGTATATGACAAATCATTGAAATTATTACAGATAATCTATACCTTAGCCATTTATTGATTTATACAGGGTGATTTATCAGCTCACCATCAAACTTTGACATATGATAGCTAATCCAATTACAAAAAAAAATGTTAATGACCATATGTCCTATTTTAATTAATTACGAAATTATAACACTTTAAAGTTTTCATTTTTATATCATAATTAACTGCTACATTATTTTTAAAACACATAAATATTACAAATATTGTTCAAAATAGACTCCTCCGACAGTCGGACTTTTGCGCTTCACGGAAAAGTACCGTTTCACTTTTAATTATTAATTTTTTCATAGTTTTTTCTTAATTTTTGTTATTTTCATTTAACAGTTCATCTTTTTGTTTTCTTAACTTTTTTGTTTCTTTTTACGATGATCCTTGTTTAAAACTTATAACCTCACTTTTAAACGTGTTTTGAAATTTCATTTAACAAACATTAATGTAAACAACGTTTCTGTTCCGATTCGAGAAAATGTATCACTTAAAATGTACACAACCCCTTTGCGACCGTTTTTGTAAACCAATTACTGAATCAACTTTAATTCTCCGTCTCAACATCTAATCTCTCTTTTGACGTCGTGCCTAAGAAGAAGACCATATTGGTCGAAACAATTGTCGCACCGAAACAAATAAAATAAACAATCATCATCGTAAAAACTTACTTTTTATTTCATTATCCACACTACGATGAAACTGGAATCCCAGATCGCTAAATTAGTAAATTGTTGTTAAATAATCCACCCCAAACGTTGATGCTGAAACGTTGTTGAAATTTCCTTGGTCTAATCGCATGCAGATTTTGTAATGCCCAGATATGTTCATTATGGTAATTATTTATACCATCTCGTGTAAAACATGATTCATCTGTCCAGTGATCATTTGAAATGAAGTGATTATTTTGGGCATGTTACTACAATAACCATTCACAAAATGCTAACCGTTGCTGATTATCTCCTGGCTGTAGAGCTTGAACGTTCTGTTTACGATACGGATGAAGGACTTGTCGATTCAATACGCGCCATGCAAAATGTTGACTTACATGTATGTTGTGTGCTATTCTTCGAGTGCTGATGGAAGGATTATCAATGACAGCATTAATTACAGCTTCTTCGTCCGCTACATTAACTACATGCGGTCGAATAGGATTACCTGTTTCTCAAAGTCTTCTGAAAGAATCGCTAAAAACTGAATAATATGGCAAATAACGCTGTGGAAATCTTTCTTGATATTCTGATACTGATTGTCGAGCGTTTCAATTGCAAAAATCATACACGAAAATTATATCAGCATACTCTTCAGTGCTATAAGCGTACATTTTGAGTTTCTTCTTGTATGTAATAATTAAACCTTACAGCAAACTGATATATTACAATGACAACTTTGTTTTTGTTGAATGTTTGATTTTACTGACTATTAATAAATTCGCTGCAGAAAACTTTAAAGTGTTATAATTTCGTAAATAATTGAAATAGGATGTTCATTAACATTTTTTTTTTGGTAATTGGATTAGCTATCATATGTCAAAGTTTGATGGTGAGCTAATAAATCAACCTGTATTTCAAGATTAAAATGGTATTCGTTGTTTTTGCTAATAGGTTATCCTCTTAAAAAATATTGCTTATTTATTAAAATGTTGATTTAAAATATAATTTATTGATGATAATATATATTTGAATGACCCATAATTTTGTACACACAAGGTAGTATTACCCCTTAAGTTTAATTTTGATTTTTTTTATTCCTTTTTCCTTATTGCACGTTTTCTTTTTTATTGTAAATTTTTTCGTGGCACAGATCTTTTGGGTTTGTCCTGTCTCTGTACCCATAAATTGTAAATAAATAAATATTGTGAGATATAGAAAGTACCGTATAGTTCGATAGTGATATTTGAGTGGGTCAGAAGTAAAGTGAACCAAGTCCACTTAAGTTCGTTTCGAGAAAACAGACCGTTTGATTTCGATCCATTTACTAATTTTTTGTAATAGGCAACGAAATTTTTAAAGTTGATATTTTTTATAAATAAGTATCTACACTATTGTTACTTAGGTGTTATTTAAAAGAAACTTCATTATTTTAGCTATACAACCGGTTAAAAGAAAGAAATGTGGACTTAGTTTACTTTTACTCTGATTTTTTTTTTTACCGCAATTCGATCAAGTCCAACTATTAATACGGTGTGAAAAAGTAATGACAATTTCTTTTATAGAAACATTTTTCTTAAGGAAAATGTAAGAAAAGTAGTACAGTTTAGAGTTAACCTCACAAAAGAAATTAAAATACTAGAAAAAACAAAAATTTTATTCATAACGTATGTGCTCCTCTGGAATTTCTCTCGATCTAGTATTCGTTTGAACAGGTAATGACTTATAAAAGTTGTGGTAGATTGGAGGTATGAAAGGAAGTAATGAAATCATATCTTTTTTCTTAATATCAGTTATACGGCGCCTAGCGTTGTAGAGCGGTTTTTGATCTATTGATGCCAACGAAGAAAGATTTCTAGCATTTTTGTTGTTTCTTTTTATGTTAATTTCTTTGAATGGAAGTAAGTTATCATCTGTGTTATTATCATCTGTGTCCTTATAAAATATTGAAAATGGGTGTCCTCTTTTGAACTGAAGTTGTTGAATCTTCAACCAATTTACAGGTTCTTTGTTGGTATTTATTTTTCTATTCGTAATGTGCTCTAATAAATCTTTGGTTGACAAAAAATCATTGAATTTAAGCTCAGTGACCTTATATGGCGTTTTCTTTCTTGAGCTTTTAATTATTTTAATCCAGTCATCTGGGCCATAAAGCAGTGAGTGTTTACTATTTTTTTCTATGACACCAAAATCCGCGTCATTTGGCAGATAGGAATGCCCAGATATCATGAATATCACATTAATTGTCTTGGCTGCAGTAGACGCTTCATTGCACAGCTTCAGTAATTGCACTGATAAATTAATATTTCGATTTTGCCCTCCGCAAGTGTCGTAGTATAAAGTTATTTCAGTACAATTTTTAGCGTTATTTTTTAAATGCTTGTAAAGCACTATAGATATTTCTTGCGAACCCCTGCCTCCCTCTGTTTCATTCCATACAAACATTTCAGGTGGTCCGGAATTAATTGGATGAACACCGCAATTATACATGTACAAATTTCGTTTATAATAAGCGATGGATGTGGTTAGTTTTGGAAATGCTAGAGCCTTCTGCAAGTCAAATGTACAAGCATAATAATTTTCTGAAACTTGTGAAGCCTCATTCTTCAACTCATTTCTAATTTTTTCTGCTTGAGACAAATGCATTTTTCTTTCAGTCTCTATTTTTGTTATAATAGATAGATCCTTTTCTGAAGCCAAAGCAATATTCCATTGGTCACATTTCTTGCATGTGTCTTTGTAGAGTATTTTAAAATGCAAATTATGAAAACATTATAGTAATATTTTTCCTTACATGGAATTTTTCCTTCTAATTGACATTTGTCTACATACAACTCGTACATTTTCTTTATTGACAATTCGGAATTTAAATATTTCCTATTAGGATTGTGATGACGTGTGTAGTGGCTGGTAAATGCAGGGAATGACTCAATATGTGATCGGATTTCAGTTTGATCAATTTTGTTACTTGACGGATGCCTCCCACGTGAATCCAATACAGCATGTACCTCATGTTTTGTTAAGCACCTGTACACCCTACCCCAACTGAGGTTTATGGTATTCAAAAAATATTTCTTACAAACTAAAGTGCTTTTATCTTTTAGATCGAGATAATATTCAAAAGTACGTGACCGAAAGCCTCTACTTCCATCCCTAATACGAGATCTTTGTGGTACTTTGATCTTTATAGCGCCTCGTAGAAATGTATTTTGCTTTGAATAATCTTTAAGCTTCCAAAATGAAGTGAAAAACATTTCGCGCTGCTCTTCTGTCACTTTATCTTTACATTTCGCTGGACACTTGCAATCATAATTCTGTTTAAATTGTTTTGCCGGTATGGATTTACCTTTACGCGTAGTGTAGGCTTGACCACTATTTCTGAGTAACTTATTAACATTTTGTTTCCAAGAATCTTCATCTCTTTCTCGCTTACGACCTATTTGCTTATATCTTTTCTTTCTACTGGTACTAGTGCAAGTAGAAGGTACATCATCAACAGCACTATTACATTCTTCTATATCTAACAGCGAAACTGACGAAATAACAGTTGATACTGTTTCTTTATTATTATTACAAAAATCTAAAATAGTATCTATAGTAGTTTTATTATGTTGGAAACGTGTGTATTACACAGTAAAATTTTGTTATAACGCTCCCGTTCATAAGTTTTCACGGTTTTAAACGCTCTTATTCTGTGATCCCGGACCCAAACGATGATTTTCCACACAAAACTAATTCGTTATAACTTATAACGCTCCGAATTCCCGGTTATAATGCTTCCATGGAGATAATTGGAGATATTTGTTACCGTCTCTTTTTGAAAATAAACATATCTGTTGTGGTTTTCGGATTTTACAATAGTAAACTTTCTGTTTAAACGGATAGAAATTTAAAAGTAAGTTTTAGCATCTTTATGATTTCTCAGTTATAGCGTTTTCCCGGTTATGGCGCTCTTTTTCTTATGTCCTTAGAAGAGTGTTATAACGAATTTTTACTGTTTATGTACATACCATTGTCAGAAAGACTTAAGTCTTCGAATTTTTTATTAGAACCTGTGTTCAAATCCATCACTAAATTAACCACACAAGAAATTCACATGAAGATTGCAATGACAGATTATAAAAAGAGGTGTCAGCGACAGTGGGCTAAGTCAGAGAGTTCTGACTTAGCCCACTTTATCACAGAATCTTAAGCTACTTGGACTTGGTTCATTTTTTCAATGAAAAATGGTGCAAATCATTCAGGTGAACAAGCAAGTGAACTAAAAAAGTGAACTAGCGTACATTATTGGTAACCTGATGAACTAAGTATTGAATAAGTCAGCACATAAAATTATAACTATTCAAACGGACCTAAGTATACTCTTAACTAAATTTTAGAAAAAAATAGACTTGGTTCACTTTCCTTCTGACCCACTCATTTAATCTCAGATGTTGCTGGTTAATGTTGATAAAAAGATTCATAAAGTTTAAATATAACACTTAGACCCATTATTATATATAGCCTCCGTGGCGCAATTGGTTAGCGCGTTCGGCTGTTAACCGAAAGGTTGGTGGTTCGAGCCCACCCGGGGGCGTTTCTTTTTATTATTTTTTCTTTACGAATCGCGAATTTTAGAAACGCGATGAGTAAAGAAGAAGTTAACTTTTCTTTAAGAATTACATGAAGTTTTTTCGGACACTCAATTTAAATTAAACAAATAAAATAAAGTAGTGATTCTTCATCAGGAGTTCATCAGGAGGTGTTATCAAAATCGTCACTAACATGTGGTGATTTACAGTTACAACAGTGTACATCAAGAAGCTTCTCTAACCTTAATAATTGTACGTTTAATAAATTTATTCTAATAAATAATTAATTGTTTATTTGGTTGCTATAAAGAAATGGTCGCTATAAAGAAATGAGGTGTACTTTTCTTTACGATTTGTAAGGAAATATAGGCCATTTCCAGTGAGCGTCCGAAAAATTTTTTTTACCTTAAGATTTCGATTGTGTGCAACGGAAGAAAACAAAGAGCAAACATCCCGACAACACTTGCAAGCATTTTAGCCGCCTTTTTCCTGCTTTCGAGCTGTCCTTTCTTGTTCATGCTCGCCGTTATTGAAAAGTTGTGGAGGTGAGTATTTTCGGATATTTCTGGAACGAAATAAAATATGAAAGTTATCCCTTTACACCTTAACAAAATACCTCTCGAGGTGAGTTGCTTTTCAGATATCCTCAATACTTTACCGATTCTATAATACATTATCGCCATAACACATAAAGGTATTGCATACAATAAGGTCATTTTCATTATCGTCCAACTTAAATCGAACATTTGTGGCCAAACTGGTTCGCATTGAGTGAATAAAATCGAAATACTTTCGTTTCCACGGTGTATGGTTTCGTAAACAACTAATTCGGGAACATCTGCAATTAATTAATAATAATAATTAACATATCGAAGGAATTATCGATTTATATACCTAATGTTAAGGCAATTATCCATATTATCAATATAGCAGTTTTTGCTCTTCCTATCGTCGATTTAAATTTCAAAGGAAAACAAATAGCGTACCATCTTTCCATTGATATAAAACTTAACGTCAATACCGAAACTGTAACTGAAACAGTCTGAAAGAAAAAATACAGCAAGAAGTATCATCGACCAACAACGTGAGCAGCAATAGAGAAAATTTTTTATTCGGATTTTCGGTCAGCAGGAATTAAAAGTAAAACAACTTTTTAAAATCGCTAATATTTTGATTGTTAAAATTTCAATCTTCTTCAGAGCATTTTGTTGCTAAAAGATATTACAAAGAAAAAACGTAAGTCAAGCCACAATATTTTAAGAAACAAAAATGTAACTTACTTGTAACTCAAAGTGGCGTAAAATCTCGGAAATCGTCAAAAATGAATTGATCAAAAACATTATTAAAATTTAAAATTCAAAAAACACATTAAAATTGAAAAATGAAATATCAAAAAGTTATTAAATAAAACGTGGAATAAATAGACGCAAAATGCACGACTGTCAAATGTGGAAATAAAATTTCCACCATTCTCGGCATGAGTTTCGAATATTTGTGATGATCAGTTTTTACAAGAAAATCTTAACTTCCTTAGAATTTTGTGAATAATGGTTGTCCTCTAAAATTGGTCAACAGACTTTTGTTTTCAACATATTCACACAATAATATCAACCAGATCAGTTTAACTAATCCAGATTTAATTAATACAGAACGCTTCACGTACAGAAAGCTTCCATACATAGGAAGGTTAAGCGACCATTTAAAGAAAACGTTGAAATGTATTGATATGTTGTTATGATAACAAATTAGGAAACCATTTTACTAAACTTAAGAATAAGACTGATGATAATTTTAGATCCAACTTGATTTACTGTGTTTCATGCAAGGGTTGTGATGGAAAGTACGTTGGTCAGACCAGTCAGTGGCTGAATGTAGAATCTCAAAACATGCAAGTGACTGTAGACTGAAAAAGTCTAGTTAGTAATGCTTTATCCCAACACGTTTTGGAGTGCAGACATGAGTTTGATTTTAAGGATGTAAAAATCTTGGATTCAGAAAGCAATTATCATAATAGGAGATGGTACACATCAAGTATACACAAAATGCTGTAAATTTTAAAACAGATACTCAGAACCTTAGCAACATTTATGCTTATTTGTTTGCCTTAGATAGATTTAACCATAATAATTCGCGTAACTTACAAGGTTCCAATCCTAATAACACCTCAAATTTCTACAAATTTTTGGTATTTTAGTTGTTTTTATATTGATTATTTTGAGTTAATTTTTTATTGTTAAGAAATTTAGAGATTCTTTATAAATTAAATTTATTTTTGTTTAACGCTCGTATGTTTGATGAATTTTCTCTGTACACTGTACATCTTAAAATTTTTAGGAACCGTGTTCTCACTCCAAAAACGGGTTTTCCCTTGTTACATTTGACAGTCGTGCATTTTGCGTCTATTTGTTCCACGTTTTATTAATAACTTTTTGATATTTCATTTTTCAATTTTAATGTGTTTTTTGAATTTTTAATTTTAATAATGTTTTTGATCAATTCATTTTTGACGATTTCCGAGATTTTACGCCACTTCGAGTTACAAGTAAGTTACATTTTTGTTTCTTAAAATATGGTGCGACTTACGTTTTTTCTTTGTAATATCTTTTAGCAATAAAATGCTCTGAAGAAGATTGTAATTTTAACAATCGAAATATTAGCGATTTTAAAAAGTTGTTTTACTTTTAATTCCTGCTGACCGAAAATCCGAATAAAAAATTTTCTTTGAAAGAAATAATAACTGTATTATATTTTAATTATTATTAACTTTGAAGCTTCTAAATATAATTTACATTTCTAATAGAAATGCAAACTTAAACAGATGTCATCTGAAGCGTACGTGTTTAAGATAGTTTCCATTAAACTTCATACAATATTCAATACAATTTCTATGTTACCCATTAAATCTGTGACAAGCCCATCGAAACTTTAACGAGCTCAAGTTTCCAAGTTTCGACTATCTTTAACCATTTTAAAAGGTTCTAAGTGCTTCAAACCAACGAATTACAACATTCCTTGTTAAATGGGAATTCTAGTTAATTTTAAATCGTCTTTGGTAAAAAGATACAGATTCTTACAATAATTATGTTTATCTACAACTGCTTGGATAAGTCATCATTACCGCACTCATTTGAGGTGATTTGAGTTACGTAATAAAGTTCATTACCGCACTGGTTTCATTACGTAACGCATTTTTACCCTAATCAGAACAGACTTAATTTATTGAAACGAGCAACAATACAAAAGAAAAAGTGCTATATGCAGTAAATATTCATAGCATCTAAGATGTGCATGAAGTATAGAAATACCATATTTAAATGTGTCTTCATAACAGACTCTGTTCTTTAGTTTCTCTAGACAACTGTGTGTATACAACATAGTAATATCTTATGCTAACTAGCGCTATCTACCGCTGTCGTTTGTAAAATGGATAAGATGAGAGATGTTAATCTATTTGTAGAATCTTTGAAGATGGCCAAGGGCCGAAACTAATTAGACTTAAATTCTATATAAAATAAAAGACATAAACTTTTAATTTTATACTAACATCTAGAATAACGCGGTCCAATTGTAAAGTGTAATCCAAGATTTCGTATTGCCCATAGATCTGTATCTTCCTCAGCGTTACAAAGAAATATTGTATGAGCATAACAATAATGAGTTTGTTGGGTTGACCATAATGAAGCTGGGTTGTGTTATCTTCGAAATCATCGTTTTATTATTGTTATGTATTTTATATATTAAGTACATGTATTAATAAAGTATAGATGGCGTTACAATAGCGAATTACGTGGCGTAACGGTCGCAGAAGAACAATTGTAATCATGTTAGAATGTGATGGACTTGGAGTTATAATAAACGAACTCCAAATAGTTAAAAGTGTTTTATTAAAGTTAGTAAAGATCATAAAAGTGGCGACGAGGATGGGACCTTTGAAGAAAATAGACATCGAGGTAAAAGAAAAAGAACCACGTAAAATAAAGAAAAGAGAAGTCAGGTTAGAATTGGAAAAAATGACTGAAACCGGAAAAGTAGGAGAATACGATATTTCATAAGAAGCCTTTGCTACGTACGTAAAAAGATTAAAGTTACATTTCAAGGATAATAGAACAGAAGAAGAAAAACAAAAGAATATTTTCTTACTGATAATGGATACAAATATCTATGAAATAGTAACTAATATAGTAATTCCAAAACAACCTGAGGACCTGTCCTTTGAGCAAGTTGAAGTGCCATTGACAAAGTATTTCCAACCACCAAAATTAACAATAGTACAAAGATTAAAAATTTTGGAAAAAAGAACAAACGAATTTGTGAATAAATATGAAGGGTTCAGGGGAAAACGTGATAAGTCCAATATTTCATTAATTGATCTAAATGATTGAATCTTGTAGTAAAAATTACGACCTACAAGATGATCAATGAGTTTTAGATGAAAACATGTTTAGTCTTGAGATATTCACAAAATAAGTTTAGATGTACAGGGGAAAAACATGGTAAGTCCATCTAAAACAGTATAAAAAACCGTTAAGTCCAAAAAAAAACATAATTCTTTGTGGTTAATAGTATCCCAAGATATGTTAGCAGACTTTTTTTACTCCATTTAAACGAATAAAAAATATACAATGACAACAATATTTAGGTTGGTATTGTCATTTATTAAATTTTTAGTTGACAGTGACAGCCGGTAAACGTAATTCAAAACGCTTTAAATAGTTTAATAAAATTGTAATAATTGCAGAAAAAATATAATGTGTATCGCGGCATTAAGCCCTAAATAACTATTATTGTTAATATTATTGTTGCAACAAAACGTGTTCTTTTTCGCCTTGACGACGTAATCAACACATTGTTAGTAACAATATAGTAGTTCTGTGGTTTTTGTGTTGTATAATATCTCAAAATGTCTGAAAGTCCATCTGTAGGTTTAATTGAAGATGATAGCGGTGGATGTAAAGAGTTGAAGACAAAGAAAAGAAAAATATTTGGAAGAATTACTGAGGTCGGTAAGAAATTGCGGTTACAAACCCATGAAACAAGAAGAGCCTGCACATGCAAGAAAAAATGTTTTGAATAACTATTATCTAAAAAAAGTAAAGAAAAAATTATTAATCATTTCAATAAATTAAAGTCAAATGACGAACAAAATTTGCATTTGGCAGGATTAATATCTATATTGCTAATTCGGTGATAAAGGAACAGAAAACCGGAAGCAGAAGTGTTATTTCGGGAAGCTAGTTACTGTTATAAAGTCCGCGTAGTCATGGATGAAAATGTGGAAGAAAAAGTTGTCTGTAAGGTAGCATTTATCGCTCATATTAAATCTCTGAAAGGAAGATCTAGTCACTACAGTTTGCACGATTCCACTAAGACATATCTGCCTGAAGAATTAAACATCACAAAGTTGTTTTTGATGTTTAAAGAAATTCATGGCGAACTGAAGATTTCTTATGAAACATATAGAACAATCTTCAATAATGACTTCAACATAGCGTTTGGTTACCCACGTACCGATACGTGTAGCAACTGTGATGAGCTTGCAGCAAGAAAGAAGAGTTTACTATCACAAATAAGCAATGAAACGGATAGGGAAAAACATTTAACACTTAAAACTGAAGTCGATCGCATAGCAATAGAAAATAAACTTCATCTTTTAAACGCAGATACCTTTTATAGAAAAAAGCGAAATTCTAGGAAGTCGTGTAAGAAATCTGAAACTAGAGAAGCAATCTGCTTAGATTTTGGTAAAAATTTGCCAGTCCCCAATATACCGATCAATGATGTTTATTATAAACGACAACTTTCTGTATTTGCTTTCAATATCCATATATTGTCAACTGGTGAAAGCGTGTTTTACGCCTACCCAGAAACTGTTGGTAAAAAAGGTAGCGATGATGTTTGCTCCTTACTTCACCACTTTATATATAACATTATAGACACTAAACTGAAAGAGCTTGAGATATTTTGTGACTCTTGTGGTGGCCAAAACAAAAATGTGACAATGTTTCGTTTTTTACATCACGTAGTACACGAAGAACGCAAATTGACATCATTGAAAATGACATTTCCCATACGAGGACACTCATACCTAGAGTGTGATAAGAACATGGCTCTTGTGAATCAAAAGATTAGGGTGGAACATCCCGATGAATGGCTGGAAGTATTTAAAAATGCACGGAGGAAGCCAATTTCCCTTTCATGTAATTCCAGTTCAGCAAAATTTCTTTCGAAGCTGGACCGTTTACTTGGACACTCTTTATAAAAAAAAATTACCGTTTAAATCAAGACCCGTCAGAATTATAGATATTAACCAGGAAGATTCTGATGTTATACGGTACAAAACTGCCTATAATGGTCCTTGGTTCAGTGAATCACTGAAAACTTCTAAAAGGAAACGTTCTAAACCATCTCAACAATTACGTCCAAACGAATTCTCATTATCACAGCATTTATACGATCGTATGTTTAAATTAACTATAACTTAGAAATTTCTATTCTATATTATTAAAAAATATTATTGTTTCTCAGGTCTCCTTCCAATCTCGGCCGAAAAATATCAAAATTTACAGTTCCTCAAAAGGTTTTTGTGGCGATAAAGCTGCCGAATATTTTTATTCTTTACCACATAAACAAGAACATTTATTTGTTACAGATTTCGTTAATAAAATTGATTTTGATACTTTAAATAATGTAGTTATATTTTTTTTGTTTTATAAGCACCTGTGTTTATTATTGTATTGATCTATCCTCAAATATTAAATTTTTTTCCATTAACTCTTCTTTGGTAAAGAGCAAAAAGATGATAAGTGTGGGACTTACCGTTTTCTTGCATTGCAATTCTAGTTGTTACCCTAGTCTGACTTTATTTACGCGTAGAACGCAAACATTTAAGAATGATCGTGTTCACAGAATCAATAAAAAATAAATTCGAATATTAATTACCATAGCAAAATCGAAGAATTACTTCCCATCGGCCTAGAAAAAGTCTGGTAACTTTAAAATAGTTCTCTTATGAAATTACGCATTTGTGACTTATCACGTTTTTCCCCTGGACCCTTCATATGCAATAGAACTAAAAAAAATGGCTATTGATTGTCAGTTTGAGAGATTAAGAGATATTCATATCGGGTTTAAAGAATGAAAAAATTCAAAGAGAAATAAATGAACATTTAATGAAGCATTATGAAGTTTGTCAGAAATCTGCAAATGCTAAAACAGAACCAATGATTAATTGGGCCTTGCGCTAACAGAATATTTGAACGAGTACATATAGATTTAACAGTTAGAGATAAGAATTTTTGAGTATTGATAGATTCAATTCACAATGGATTGAAATCTGTTATTTATCAATAACTACTACGGAAGCTGTATTGGATCAACTAAAAACTATAATTGCAAGTCATGGTATTGGATCACAATTTGTGTCTAAAGAGTTTGAAATGTTTTGTATCTAAAATGGAATTAAACATATACTCACACCACCATATCACCCCAATGGAGCAGCAGAAAGGACGGTTCAAATCGTAAAGAAACAATGGTTGAAATTGCAATTGGAGCATAACCACAACAGTGTACAATGTCAATTGGCAAAAATATTATTCAATTACCGAAATACACCACAAACTTCAACTAATAAAACTCCAGCTGAATTATTCTTAAATAGAAAACCATGTACTAGATTTAGTATTCTAAAAGACAATCTAAGTAATAGAACAAAGCAGGTTTAGTAGGTTTACTCCAGGAGAGAGGGTTTATGTGAAAACTAAGAGAGTGGAAAGAGAGAAATGGATTGAAGGAAATATCGTGGAGATGATAAATGATTACACATATAAAGTGGAAAGCGAAGTAAGAGTTAAGTTAGTATACATCGATGATCTAAAACGTCGTGTGTTTTAAATGATCAATATCACAATAGGTTTAGTAACAACTTGGCTCTAATTGAGAGCAACATTAGTGAAGATAAAAGTGATTTGAGTAAATCAACACACGATAATTTCAATACCAAAGCGAGATTATTGAAACAAATTTAGAGATAAATACAGAGACAAATAAAAACGAAAATATTTCAGTTATAGAGACTCAGCTTGTCGAAAGTAAAACTGATGGGTTGAGACGTTCTAAAAGAGTACTTAAAATGCCAATTAGGTTAAATTTTATTAGTTAGAAAATTAAATTCGTTGGGAAAAATGGAAAAATTCATGCCATATCTTACTATAACTATAACCTTCTATATCCACGAGATTGTATATGACTGACAAAGTTGGTCAGAAGAATTAGTTCCTCAGGATGATTCCTTTTAGATTTAATTTATAAGCGAATTTGAGTAATACAAATTCAAAACCAAACAACAAATACCTTAAAATTATTTTTATTTTTTAACGAATAGCGTTAACTTCGTACAGTTTCTACAGTTTCAAATTTAAAAAGTGATGATTCGAATAATGGAAAAGTTTTATGATAGTCTATATAAACTTTTAATAAAATCTTATTCATTTATTCAATTTTCTCTTAATCCCTTGCGTTTAATCCATTAAAATGATTAAATTAAAGCCTTATTTTTCCAATTCTATCTTTAAACCTTCGAATTTCTTGCTCAGCTTTTTTCCCTTCTCTTTCAATATTTTCTTTTAACCTCGTCGTTTGTTCTTTAATTTTATTTAAATCAACAGAAATTATAGGATTCGTTTCTAATTGGTCTTGTTTGGATTTAATATCGGCGACATCTCTCGACAGTTCCTCATTTTTTTGCAACACTTTATCAGTTTGAGATAAAATCAAGCATGTATTTTCAGCTATAACATTTTCTATTCGATTAATAATCGTTATTTGACTAGATTCGATGGTTTCTTTGACTTCAACGTGTTTCGTTGCATTGTCACCGAGTATTTCTTCGCGAATTCGATGTCTTTCTTCGCTTGCAGCTTCCAATAACTTCACTTGTTCTTCGTAATTAAACTTTGCGAATTCTTTGATGTCTTCCAACGGATCTTTTTTGGATATATATGAAAATATAGTTTTTAAAAGTTGTTGTGTGTTTAATTCCGTTAAAATGTAATTATAAAAATATTTAGGACTTTCAATTTCGTAGTTATCTAAAGAAGTTTCAAAATGAAAACATGTTCTATGACCTAGAACTGGAATCGACGCTTTAGTTTTATAATAAGTGAAGACATCATCATGTTTCATTCTAATTCCGCAGTTTGTAATAAAATCCGATGTTGTTAATTTTGAGTTCTCATCTACATAGATGGTTCTGCCCAATTTAAGAAGTTTTGTTTTGTGGCGTTTGGAGTCCCCGTATAAGATACCTTTTTGAATCAATTCAGATGTTAACTCAGCGCCAGATTCTTCGTTTAAGAGATATGTAAATAATCGGTTGGAGCAATCTTGTCCTAATTTTTGCATTGCTCGAGTTATACCACCATTTTTACACTTAACTTTTGTGAATTGATATTCAAAGTGTATAAAAAATTCCAAAGCGCCCGCAATGAGCTTATTTCTAAATAAATCCTTATTATCGTTACTTGCGTACGCTATTGTACTCACAGAGGACGCTTTATCTTTATCAATTAGGTTGTTTATGTACTTTTCTCCTTCGGTTATTCCACTTCCAATTCCTTTTCCCACTGTTGGTATAGCCGATGATAAGCTTGCTAAGAACGATATTGGTTTACTGTTTGATTTCTTTTTTAAATCGGGATTTTCTTCTAGAATGTGCCTCCAATACCTGATTTGTTCCTCAAAATATCTTGTAAAATAATAACAAAATTCATTTAATGATTTGTTTAAATCCATTTCTGTAAAATATTATAAATTAATTACTGCGACCATGTGGAGTTTTATATATAGCGAACTGACCTTGAGCCGTATTCGTTTGGGAATTCCTTTATGAACGTCACTTAGCTTGAATAAGTTCTCTATGCTCGATTAATCTTAAGAAATTAATCACAAATTTTAACTTTTTACACAATCTTAAACACTTATAACTAAATCAGACTTTTTAGATCGAAATTAGTTGAGAATTATATTTAAATATCGAATCTGACGAACCTCTCACCGCTATATTTTGACTCGTAATGTAACGGAGCAACCGTTGTAAAGACCGCTGTCCCACCACGTTGGGTATCTAATCATACATGATGTCATCAATTTTCCCAACATTATCTTTCGTATAGCACAGGGGATTTCAAAGAGATAGGATTAATTTGACGAGTAAATCGTTTGTCAATTTCAGCATTTAATATTCCCATAATTTAAGCTGTTATAATTAGGAGAATATTTTAGCTAGTAATGCGAATGTGCAAAAAATGCAACAAAATCGATCTGATCGATATTAAAAAATTTATGTTTTAAAAAGTAAAAGTAATTTTTCTAAACGGATCATTTTATTAAAAAGTTCATGCCCTAATTAATATTGCTACATTAATTAATTAACATAGCCTACAGTTGCTCGCCTGCATAAGGTCCTGACAAGACCACAACAACGATCTTGGCCACCTATGCAAAGAAGGTGGAAAGTATAGGAGTTCCTATTGAGTACACATTTCCCTGCTTCATAAGTCAGTCTTAATGCAGACGCAGATCACGAAGTAATGGATACCAGTCGTCCATTTGGCAAGGTCCGTAGCTTAGCTGCTGCTGCTTAATCACCTGGAGGGGATGGAATTCTGCTTATCTTTCTGCAAAAAGGCATAGAAGACCTACTCCCAGTAATAATATTCCTACATATAGCTAGCTACAGCTTTAGCTATATAAATACCTAGATGATGAAGGAAAGTAACGGTAGTCTTTATACCCAAAGGTGCAAAGCGTTCAAACGCCGATCCCAAGGCATACAGGCCAATCAGCCTAATCTCATTTCTGCTCACAGTGATGAAAATGGTACTTGATCAATACCTTTTCCTTTGCGCAGATCAACAATTACTGCCATCCATGCATTGATGAGCAATTTAGAGGAGACAATTACAGCTAACAAGATTGTTGAATTTTTTAATAATTTTAAATGGTTCTTCATACCTTGCAGAGACAAGATTTTTTGCCTTCTAGTCGAACAAAAACAAAATCTGATTTCTCTAAATCTTTATGTAAAAAAGGTTTATTAAGGGAATGATGGCGCATCATGGTTGGTCTCAAGTTTGTAAAATGATTTCGTAAACTGATCAGGACGTATCAATTGAACTGTGGGAACTTAAGAAAAATTCACCTGGGAGTCTCAAGTGATGACCATAAAGTAATTCAGCAGATGAACAACCTAAATCTTCTTTTATGGTTGAACGTAGACCAAGAAGGATAATAGGTAATTCATCTTTCCAATGAGTTGTATTCCTAGTATTAACGCAGTTTTCAAAGTTCTATGAAATCTTTCGACAATACCATTGCTTTGAGGATGGTATGTTGAAGTATGAATTTGAAACGGACCAAAAAATTTATTAAATTCTTTAAATAATTGAGATTCAAATTGCGGGCCTTGATCGTGTGTTATTGTGTCTGAAATTTTAAAACGTGAGAAATAGTGAACGTAAAGTGTTTTGCAATAGTTGATGCAGGAATTGATGAAAGAGGAAAAGATTCTGTCCATCAAGTAAATCTTTCAATTATTGTTAAAATGTAAGAACAACCACCAGAAGGAAGAAGAGAACCTACAATATCAATGTGGATATGTTCAAAACGGCCTTTAGGAATATCAATCTTTATAATTGGAGATTTTGTATGTATTTGGATTTTTGAAATTTGACATGTAATACATGCTTTTGTCCAAAGAGATATATTGGAATTCATATGAGGCCAAAATTATCTTATATTGATTAATTTTTTAGAAGCTCTTATACCTGGATGAGAAATACTATGTAAGTCGGTGAAAATCGAATGACATAATTTATCTGGAATATAAATACGTTGATAGGAAGATGAAGAAATTTCATACTAAATTGGAATATTAGAAAATGGAATTGTTTGTTGTTTTATACGAAATTTAGAATTAGGATTATAATTTTAAGTTTTAAGTAATTCTTGGAGTTCTTGATCTGTAGACTGAGCTTGTTGCAAAGTTTGAAGGTTCAGTTCATACAATTCAAAAGAATCAATATTGTTGTCTATCCATGAAAGAGCATCGGCAACAGTATTGTTTTCACCTTTAATCTAAGCAATATCTGTTGAGAACTGCGCTATAAAGTTTAGATAGCGAGATTGTCTAGGACTTTTTTCTGATTTATAGGAAAAAGATAAGGTTAAAGGCTTATGATCTGTGCAAATTTTAAATTGATAACCTATAGATGGCTAAAAGTTCACGATCATAAGTTGAATATTTTAATTGGCTGGGGGAAAGTTTTTTTTGAGAAAAATGCAATTAGTTGTGAAATGTTGTTGAAGCATCGGTGGTAAGAATCAATTTGGCAGACGGGTTAGGGTGAGCTGAAATTGTAGCGTTAGCTAATGAAGATTTTGCCTTTTGAAAACTTTCTTCACATTCATTTGGCCAGGAAGAAATATTTTTTTGTTTTAGATTTTGAAGTGATGTTGATAGAGAATGAAGAGAATCGAGTAGTTGAGAAAAATTTGGAACGAACCTATCATAAAAATTTATCATGTCGATAAATTTTTGTAATTGCTTTAAATTTTTTGGAATTGGAAAATCATTGATAACCGATATTCTTTCATTTGAAGGAAGAATACCTTTTGAAGAGACAGTGTGACCTAAAAAATTTAATTGTGAAACTCCAAACTCACATTTTGAGAGTTTAAGACTAATACCAAATTGGTCTAATCGATTAAATAGTTGCTTAAGATGATCCAAATGTTCACCTTCATCCTTGCTCGCAACTAATATACCATCCAGATAAACGAAAATAAAGTTCAAACCTTTAGTCACCTCGTTGATGAACCTTTGGAATGTTTGAGCAGCATTACGTAAGGCATCCGTAAAAATTCAAAGAGTCCAAAAGGTGTTGTAATTGCAGTTTTATAAATATCTTCTTCTGCAATTGGGATTTGGTGATAAGCTCTAATTAAATCAATTTTAGAGAAAATGGTAGTACATTCATGAATTTGCAAGTTAAAATCTTGCATATGTGGTAAGGGATATCTATCTGATATCGTAAGAACATTCAGTTGTCTATAGTCACCACAAAGACGCCAGTCTGCAGAATCTTTTTTACTAACCATGTGAAGAGCTGAAGTAACAGATAATGAGGATGGTCGATAAATATCATATTCTACCATCTGTTCAAATTCTACTTTAGCAATTTTATATTTCTCGGAATTACCAAAATATCTGCCCCAGTATCAATAAAAAAATTTAATTTATTTGAATGATCGAAAATAAAAAGACGAAAAAGCTTAGCAGATGTTAAATCATTACTGTTTGAAGTTGAAACGGTTACTAGTTTTTTGATTTTCTTTAGATGTAAATGATTTAAAATGAGTACACCAGGGACGCTCACATTTTAATACATTATTCTTATAGGTATTATGATAAAAACAAATGTTTTTGGGTCGAGACCTAGAAGATGAGCGATATCTAGCGGGAGAGCGACCTCCCGAATCGAATTGGTTTGGAATTAAATTAATTTGCGATTCCATTGACAATTGTTTTGTCGTAAGACTCTGAATAACGTTCTGACAATTAATTGAAAAATCTGCAAACATTTTTATCGAACCTAATGGTATTGTTTGATTAAAGGAAGCTGATGAAAAGGTAGTTTGAATTTCTGCAACTTTATGTGTAGAACCCGGATGATAAGCTTCCCAGATTTTGTCAGCTATAGGCGCTCCGTCGAAGACCATCCGTTTGTATTTGCTAAATAAACATAGAGAACATTAGCAATTATAAGAGCCAGTATTTATCAAGATTTTTGAAGGAAAACAATACTGATCTGGTCGCAATTTAAGAAACCCAGATGCCTGATCCAACCCAGGCACTAACAAGTAGCAAAAACTATGGTAGATTTCTTGGAGTGATAAATACCGGCAAGAAGTGCATCCGACAGAGTATCGGGGAAAATATGTCCCAGAATGGTGTGAAAACAACAATAACTTTTATCAATGTTTTCTTAAGAGGGAGACCAAGAGGTGGTGGATGAGCTCTTCCACAGCCTTGACGCTGAACAGAACTGATTGAAAATGGTAGAGAACCTGAACCTTCAGACCTCAAACCCCAAAGCGTTGACTTTGGTGAAGAAAGTGGGTAGCGCAGTACCTTCCGAAAGACAAAAAAGAAACATCTCCCCAAATACCGTTGTCTCCAAGATAGCAGCAGCGTCTAGACACATTTGCACTATTTAAAACTATTAAAAAATAAATGTTAAAGCAAAAGATGGAATTTTATATAGAAGCACAAAAAAACCGTACGATTGTACGAGATATCTATAATATGTTATTGGAAGTGATTATCATATTCAATACACTTGACAGTTAAGTCAACGTTCTTAATGGGACTGGTGAACAATGTGGTTTTGCTGTTATAACTTATTTAGAATATAACAAAGTAATAAACCTTTACTGCGTACTACTAGTATTATTTTTTTGAACCTGACATTACGTTGAATGTCGAATTTTTCGTCCTATTTTCTAGCCTTTAAATCAAACCAACTTCGAAAAAGTATAGTTATTTAAACACAAATGTCGCTAAAATTTCATCTAAATATCCTCAATTTCCTCTCTGCAATCGACTGCAACGAACTATGCGGTTACCTTTACAGATGTCAAATAAACAGTGAATACTGTGGTGGATATTTGTTCTTTTTAAATCGCTTAAATTTTTAAATACTAAGTAAATTTGCTTTATATTGCTTCCTATTTCATGATGATATCCCAATTAGTTTTTGAGCAGTAGTAAGCATAACGCGAATTCCGCCGAAATTTTCCTGCTAGGAAAGCCAGTTCTATTTGGACTCTTAACTTAAAAATAGTAGGCCAAACAATAAAAGAACAGGCGGTAGTGAAAGAATTGTTAGGTCTGCGATGTATTCGAATAGCATAATTAGCCCATACTTCTTTGAGAATGATGATGGCCATGCAATTACACTAACATTAGCTCGATATGTTCGAATGCAGAAAACCTTTTTCATTCCACAAGTGTTTATGAATGAGAACAATCATTTCTAACAAGATGGAGGAACT